ATGAGAATATGTATCACCACAATATTTTTCTATTTTTCAGGCATGAACTAAATAGAGCCCCATTTAGAAAGCATGGCTGGCATTCAACTGAGAGTGTCCAGACTGCTAAAACCAGCTTTTGAAATCACACTAAACAAAATCCTTATTCTCCAAGATTAATCCATATACATCCGTTTCTTAATGGCCTTGTATTCTAAGGAAGAAGCTGAGAGCGGCAGAAGGGACTTTGCTGAGTTAAAAATACGTACTGGAATAGATTTCTTTTTTAAACCAGAGTTTACTATACTTTCATAAAATTATCATACTAGATACCACCCCATGTTCTTGTCCAACGCTCATAATTCGTATGGTAGTCAAAGACTGAGATCTTTGCCTATTTTTTATATGACATCAAGAAGTTCAAAACTGTTTTTTTTTTTAAATTTATGCCAAGAGATACTTTTTTGACCCAAACTATAATGTTGTTTGATAATGCTGTGTTAGGTGAAGTGTGTCGTATAATAATAGGTCCTCTTTAACCCTTTCACGCTGCTACAGATGGGCTCTTCAGATCAGCCATCACAGAGGAGTCATCTGCATATCTGAGAGTGTTAACATTTCCTGTGGGGATTTTTATTCTAGCATCTGCTTCTTCTAGATCAGTGATTTGCATGATATGTTCTGCGCAGAGGATGAATGAATGTGGAAACAATATATAGTCTTGACAGACTCCTTTCCCTCTCTTGAACCAATGTGTTGTTTCGTATTCTATTCTAATGTTCCAGATTCCATGGGTTACAAATGAGGTTCCTTGTTATCTCCATTACTTTAAAGTGTATGCAAACCCTAACAATGAACATCTTTTATTTGCTCCATTTTGATCTGTTAAATATACCATTGAAAGAATTTTGTTCTATCTGTTTGATGAATGCTAAAAGTATTCTGCTGATCCCCCCAAAAATTAAGTGCTGTCCAAGGTACAGTCTTTTCTCAAAAAATGTTATAAGGAATGTTTTTGAAGATTATTGAACACCTCCCTTGTTATGGAGAAGAGGATGGGGGTTGTTTCTGTAGATCTAACATAGATCCTGTCCTAGGGTGATAACTTTTCTCCTTCATAGACACAGTCATGGCCAAAAATATTGGCACCCCTGCATTATTGTCAAATAATGCACTACCTCGCCCAGAAAATTGTTGCAATTCCAAATGTTTAGGCATTCTCATGTTTATTTCTTTTGTTTGTGTTGGTATGACACAAAATAGTGGAGAGACAAAAAGCCAAATCTAACACATTCCACACATAACCCCAAAACTGAACTGGACAAAATTATTAGCACCCTCAATTTAATATTTGGTAGCACACCCCTTGGAAAAAATAACTGAAATCAATTGCTTCCTGTAACGATCAATGAGTTTCTTATAGCTCTCTACTGGAAGTTTGTACCACTCTTCTTTCGCCAAGTGCTCCTTGTTTCCCAGATTGGAAGGGTCCCCTTTCTCAAATGCTGTGTTGAGATCTCTCCACAGGTGCTCTATGGGATAGAGATCTGGACTCACTACTAGCCGGTTCAGTACTCTGCAGCAATCTGTATTAAACCATTTCTGGGTGCTTTTTGATGTGTGCTTTTGGTGACTGTCCTGCTGTAAGACCCATGACCTCTGATGGAGACCCAACTTTCTGACACTGGGACCTACATCGCACCCCATAATTCTGTGGTAGTCTTCAGATTTCATAATGCCATGCACACAGTCAAGACAACCAGTGCCTGAAGCAGCAAAGCAACACCAAAACATCAGTGAACTTCCACCATGTTTGACTGTAGGGACTGTTTTCTTTTCTTTAAAGGCCTCGTCTCTTTTTATGAAAACAGAAAAATGATGGGGCTTTACCAACAAGCTTTAATTTTGTTTAGTCTGTCCACAGAACATTCTCTCAAAAGGATTTTGTCTTCCTCAGGTAAGTTTTAGCAAACTGCAATCTGGCTTTTTTACTTTTCTGTGTCAGAAGTGGGGTCCTCCTGGGTCTCCTACCATAGCTTGCCTTTTCATTCAGATGGCGGCATGTAGTGCGAGCTGACACAGTTGTACCCTGTGCCTGAAGGTCAGCTTGAATTTGTCTGGAAGTTGATTGAGGTTCTTTATCCACCATTCAAACAATCCTTTGTTGCAATCTTTGATCAAGTTTTTCTCTTTCGTCCACATCCAGGGAGATTAGCTACAGCGCCATGGGCTGTAAACTTCTTGACAATGTTGCACACAGTGGACACATTAACATTAAGATCTGTTAATTGATATAGGTGAGTTTAATTACAAATTACAGGAGCATCACTAACTTGGAATGCAATTATTTCTTACAATTTTGAGAAGGTATCAATAATTTTGTCCAGTCCATTTTTGGGGTTTTGTGTGGATTGTGTCAGGTTTGGCTTTTCTCCACTTTTTTAACTCATACCAATACAAACGAAATAAATAAACAAATATGCTTAAACGTTTGTAACTGCAACAGGGAATGTGTTACTGACAGGATCACCAGTAAAATTAAAAAATAAAAATCCTGAAAATAAGAAAAACAATTGAAGCCAGCACATCTAAAGACTGATAAACTGCTGTATATTAAAGTTTTGTTCTTGGGTTAAGATACATTTTAGTTGGGGGCATATGCATGCCATGAAATGTGAGTGTCAGGGACTTATCTGTATTGGCAGTTAGTTATTAGTATATCAGAAAGGAGGAGCATAAACTGGTTGACTTCAGGTTGCCTTTACTGTTACCTCCTTCTAAAGGTTCTTCCTCTGCCTTTTTTGTGTTAGTTTCAACTTTTTTGCTTCCCTGACTCCCTCCATGGGTCTCACTTAAGCTTGGCTCCTGCTGCTGGTACCTTCTGAATCCCCTCTTGTATCCAGGTGCATGCTTCATGCCTCCAAATGTGTTTTCCACTAGAATATGTGTAGGAGAGCATGTCCATGTTTTAGCAGGGGTTAGTATGAGACCCAATCAGTCAAGTCCCCCTTTTAAGGGCAACTCATTCCACTTTCAGGTCACCTTTATAGAGTGCATTAGAGTGTATTGGCTGTATTGACTATACAGTTGCAAGAAAAAGTATGTGAACCCCTTGGGATTACGTGGAGTTTTGCATGAATTGGGCATAAAATGTGCTCTGAACGTCATCTAAGTCACAACAATAGAAGAACACAGTCTGCTGAACATAATACTACACAAACATTAGATGTTGCCATGGTTTAATTGCACATAACATGTAAACATTCACAGTGCAGGGAGGAAAAACTATGTGAACCTTTGGACTTAATAACTGGTTGACCCTCCTTTGGCAGCAATAACCTCAACCAAACTTTTCCTGTAGTTGCAGATCAGACCTGCACAACGATCTGGAGTAATTTTGGACCACTCCTCTTCACAAAACTGTTTCAGTGTAGCAATATTCTTGGGATGTCTGGTGTGAATCACTCTCTTAAGGTCATGCCACAGCATTTCAATCGGGTTGAGGTCAGGACTCTGACTGGGCCACTCCAGAAGGTGTATTCTGTGCTGTTGCAGCCTTTGTTTTGTTGAATTACTTGTATGCTTTGGGTCATTGTCCTGTTGCATCACCCATCCTCTGCGGAGCTTCAGTTGGCGGACAGATGGTCGTACGTTTTCCTGCAAAATGTCTTGATAAACTCTGGAATTCATTTTCCCATCAATGACAACAATCCGTCCAGGCCCTGAGACAGCAAAGCAGCCCCAAACCACGATGCTCCCTCCCCAATGTTTTACAGTGGGGATGAGGTTTTGATTTTGGTGTGCTGTGCCTTTTTTTCTCCACACATAGTGTTGTGTGTTCTTCCCAAACAACTCAATCTTGGTTTCATATGTCCACAGTATATTTTGCCAGTAGTGCTGTGGAACATCCAGGTGCTCTTTTGCAAACTTCAAACGTGCTGCAATATTCTTTTTGGACAGCAATGGCTTCCTCTGTGGTGTCCTCCCATGTACTCCATTCTTGTTTAATGTTTTCCTTATTGTAGATGTGTCAACAAAAATGTTAGCATGTGCCAGAGATTTCTGTAGGTCTTTAGCTGACACTCTGGGATTCTTCTTTACCTCATGCAGCATTCTGCGCTGTGCTCTTGCAGTCATTTTTACAGAACGACCACGCCGAGGGAGAGTAGCAACAGTGCTAAACTTTCTCCATTTGTAGACAGTCTTTCTTACCGTGGACACATGAGCATCAAGGCTTTTGGAGATAATTTTGTAACCCTTTCCAGCTATATGCAAGTCAACAATTCTTGATCGTAGGTCTTCTGAGAGCTCTTTTCTGCGAGGCATGGTTCACATCAGACAGTGCTTCTTGAAGCCAGTAAACCCAAAACAGGTGCGTGTTTTTTAAGGGCAGGACAGCTGTCAGCAACACATCCAATATCATCACACTGATTGGAGTCAAGGTTGGCTCACTCCTGGCTCCAATTAGCTCTGGGAGAAGTCATTAAGCTAGGGCCTCACATACTTTTTCCTCCCTGCACTGTGAATGTTTACATTGTGCAATTAAACCATGGCAACATCTAATGTTTGTGTAGTATTATGTTCAGCAGACTGTGTTCTTCTATTGTTGTGACTTAGATGACGTTCAGAGCACATTTTATGCCCAATTCATGCAAAACTTAACGTAATCCCAAGGGGTTCACATACTTTTTCTTGCAACTGTATTAAGGTAACCTTTGTTGCTGACTTTGCTTGCTCTGATCATGATTGCACCCTGTTCTGAACTTGCCATGATTCCTGATAAAGGCCAATTTCCACATTTTTGTTGTGCACATTCACATGTGATTTCCCTTGTTAATATGCATTGTGGTAAGAAAACCCTTTTATTTTCAATGGGCTGCCAATGCACCACAATACAGGTTTAAGTCGATCCACATTTTTCTCAATTAGTGCATCATAGTGCACAGATGGTTTATGTGTGCTTTGTGGCCTGCTAAAGTGGACATGCACAAAGGTGTGCTGGCGAGGTGTTTTAGGTCATCATTTAAAATGAATTGCATCTCAGTTTTTTGAGCTTTTTAAAGAAAGGGTCACAGTTCAGAATCTGACTCGTGCACGCTCTCCACCCTGATTTTGACACTCAGCCCTGACTACCCTAATAGCCTATTATGTTCTAAACTACACTTTTCATGCATTGGCAACCAGCTGGTTTTGACCCATGCTACTATACAGTTTCTAAACTGTAGGTGGACACAGTTAGTCTTTCCACCTGGAGGTGGCCTAGTGCCGTTGTTGATTGAGAAGGGCAGTCTTGTAAGAAAATTGATCCCTTAGTGATTCTGTCCAGTGCCTTGAAAGGGAAGTGGTCTGATTGGACACAGAAGCAGTGGGGGGACCTCTTAAATAAGGGAACTCATGTCGGTTTGCAACTTTTGCTGAGTGAATGGTCAGGGAGGGGAGTCTTCCAGTGAAGGACAGTACCTAGCGTAGGGAGAGGTTCCAGACGAGAAGAGACAGCTTAGGGAAGGCTCCTTCTTCATTTCATATACTTGGGTAATCGGTGCAGAGGCACAGAGCCAATGCAGCCTGCAGAACTATGCTTTTGCCTTTCAAGAGGGACTGCACGGGACTGAAGCTGTCTGCCAGTAATACATCTTATCAATGCTGCGACTGTATATTTTCAGAACTGCTGTGTATAACAGTGCCAAATGGGTTGTACTGATGCTTCAAACAAACTTACTCAAGATCTATATAAATGATATCAGTGCACTATAAACTGTGTGAGAGTAATTCCTCCCAAACAAAGCACCTAATATGGGTCCCGCCTACACACCATAGCCTGCCCCTGCAGGGCCACAACCACCTTGCCCAGGTTTTGGAATCTCCTGGAAGCTTCTGAGCAGCATTATGGTTATAATATATGAACTAGTGTCCGTGCCTTGCACTAAGTTAATAACACAGAAATGTTGTAGTTTCCAGGAAAGATAAATAGCTTATATTATTTTACTACTATAGATAGAAATATTTCTTGCCAAGCCATTATTAAAAATTAATCTATCAACAAAATGTAATTTTCTAAATAATGCTGCTAGTACCTAAGGTGTTAAAGTCTACTGTTCTGTCTCTTCAAATCCTTCTATTGTTTGCACAGCATTCCAAAAAGCCTGCTGTGTACTGTATTTGAGAAGCAAGTCAGGAGATTACCATACCCTCTTCTCCCATAATTCCTTAGCTCTTTCATAGCCCACAACCCCCACAGTTGAGTCTCTGTGTGATTGGGCTTCCTGAAGTGGCATTGTTCATACATGGAATTCAATGTGCTGCAAAATACTTTATCATTCATTGTCAGTTTGGAAACGTGGCAAAAAGGAAAACATAAACTAAAAAAAAAAAAAGTAATAAACTACATTAAAGTATATTTAGAGCCAAAACTTTCTAAAGACAAAACATTATTTTCAATTTTGGATAGAGAATGGATGGTTTAAAACCCCTGTTAAGTTGGGGAGATTTTACTTCATTCCTGTTCTATAGCCACAGCAGGAAGTGAGGTAATCTCTCCAAAGTGAGGAAGATGCCATGGTGGACAGCTATTCCCAGGTCTACTAAAGTAAAGTATTTTTATTTCTTTCTATAACCCTGTTGCAAATTTTGTTTCACTTCCTGTCTGGTGTTAACAGTACAAAATGTAAAAACAAAAAAAAATGCCTTAAAAAGCCTCAAGCTGGCCATACGCGTGTAGGTTTTCAGATGAGAACAGGGGCGGACTGAGCATTTGGAAGCTCGGGCACTGCCCGAGGGCCCGGGGTCAGTAGGGGGCCCCATGAGATGCCCCTGGTACCTTTTTCATAGGCTTTTTTGAGTTTGGGCAAGGACACAGGGGCCCCATGATCCCCTATTGCCTGGGGGCCCCATGAGTTGTCAGTCCGCCCCTGGATGAGAACATTCGTAAGAAAGGTAGTACGAAAATTCTTTGAACATTCGATGAATAGACAATAATAATAATGTCTTTCTAAAATTGTCTTTTGCTTTTAACATTCGATTTTAAAATGAATGTAATTTCCGAACAATAACCACATACACTGTCCGTAAATTCATTTAATTGAGAAAATGTTTTCCTTCCTGTCCCTTCAAATTTTCCCATCACTGCTGTTGAAAACGCACATCGATTTGATCCCACTAACCATTAGAAAATCAAACGAATATTCTTGAAATTAAAATTCTTGAATAAAAATATCTACGTGTATGGGCAGTTTAAGACAGCAGTAAAAAAAATGACAGGCATTCTAATCCTTTCACACTCTATCCAAAGCTTGAAAAAGTTTTTGGCTTGACATACATTTTAAGTTTGCACAACTTTCACTTTATCCTTTGTTCCACCCAGGGTTGAATTTTACCTTTTGTGGGTTCTAAGCGCTGGGATCTCAGCTCTTGGCATTATGAGGGCAGTTGGGATTCATTGCTACCATGGGTTTGAGGCAATTCCTGTGGGTTTAAAATTCACTGTCCCAGCAAATGTATGTGCAGGTGCACCCTGGAGAGTTTTTTTTTTAAACCATCATGCACTGCCTGGCCATTGATCTATGACCAGCAGGCTTAGAAGTGCAAATAAAGGCGGCTTTAACCACTTCCAGTCCGGACATTTTTACCCCCTTCCTGACCAAGGCAATTTTCAGCTTTCAGCGCTATCATAATTTGAATGACAATTGTGCGGTCAGGCAACACTGTACACAAATGAATTTTTTACCATTTTTATGAGACAGATAAAGCTTTATTTTGGTGGTAATTATTCACTGCTGGGATTTTTATTTTTTTTGCTATGTAAATGAAAAAGTCCAAAAATGTTGAAAAAAAGTGTTTTTTTTATAAAATTTTGCAAATAAATAATATTTCATCATAAATCTTGGCCAAAATTTATTCCGTTATCTTTTTAGTAAAAAAAAAATCCAAATTAGTTTATAACCAAAAATTATAATTTTTAAACATTTTTTTTTTACATTTTTATTTTATTTTTTTATATTATTATTTTTTATTTTTATTTTTTTTTTTACATACTATCACCCTAGCAGTACAGTGTCACCATGGTGACATTGTACTACTTGTCGGGGGTGATGAAGATTTTTTTTTTTTTTTACACTGATTGCTTTTACACCCATATAGGATGTAAAAGCAATCATTTCTCTTTCTCTCTGTCTGCATTCTTGCACTCATTGAGAAGTACTGAGTGAGCTGTGATTGGTCACAGCTTGTCACATGGTACAAGGCTGTTGTGAATAGTACCATGTGACCTCTGTGATCATTCACAGATTTCACACTTAGTAAGCAATGATGTCAGAAGTGACATCTTGCTTACTACTTTGCATGTGATCACTGATTGGCCAATCAGTGATCACATGATCAGAACCTCGTACAGAGGTCCCCTCCGACGATCGGTGTTTCACTGTGTCCGGAGGACACAGCGGGTACCGGATCGCGGTGCTGCGCGCTCCCAGGGAGCGCGCACAAGCAGGGTGCTGGGAGGCCATTTATAAACGGCCACCCGACCCTGCAGTGCCACCGTCCGGCCAAGAGATCTCTCTCTTGTCAGTTGCTCTGTTAATCACAGGGTCCCAGCTATGAATCGCTGGAGCTGGAGCTGTGTGAAGCTGCTCTAGAATTGATGACAAGCAGTTATTTAACTGTACTTTAGCTCTTTGGGCAATAAACCTCTTTGCTGCTATTTTTTTCATAGGGACAGGAAGTGAGAAAAACAAGGTAAAATCTTTCCCATGGGCCACAGAGCAGAATAGGAATCTGATATGATTTGAATATTTAACTCTTCCTCACTCTAGCCAAACCTAAAAAAGTAAAAAACAGACAATAGGCCCTAGACATAAATTCTAGCATTGCTGTTTATGCTTTTCTGTCTCTGACACCTTTCTTCATCACTGCCTGTCATATTAAAAAATGAAAAGGTGAACTAACTCCAAATATTCTGGCTGCCCAATGAGGTCATGGGAACAAGAACTGAAAAAAAAAAATTAAAGCTGAACTCTGTGCACAGAAGCTTTTATTTAAATATTTCTTTTTCCTGGTGACAAAGGATAGAAATCTACTTTGTGTGCACCAAATACCTTTACGAACCCAGTTATTGTCTTGTAAAAATAGTTGTGCCATCCTCACTGCTGTGCAGATACCCTGTGCAGAGAGCAGAGCTGAGGGAGGGACCCAGAAGCTCCACCCACTACAGGCTGCCTGCAGAAAACTACAGGAGGGGGCGGAGACAAGACCAGTCACTATGCACAAGGAAAAAGAGCAGCAGTGATTGGTCTTTATTACAGGAAGGTCTTGTAGGGATTACTACACATATCTGGAAGAAGTGTACAAAGCTCACTAAGATTCAAGTAACTCTTCCCAACTCTATCCAAGCTACGAGGAAAAAAATCACTGGAATTGGGCTTTAAAGGGTAATGAAAAGGTGAACTAACGCCAAATATCGTGGTCACTACACTGCACATAGCTGCTGTGAGGGGAGAAGTCCTGAAGTGAATATGGAAGGAGGTGACGAGGCAGCTGGATCAGCTCTTGGGAGCTGTAGAGTGGACTTTTTGGGCAATACGATGATATGAGGTTGGTGATATAGCTGGGATGGCTTTGTATGTTGTAGTTAGTATTTTGAAATGTATACATTAGGCTAGTGGAAACCAGTGGATGGACTGACAGTGAGGGGTAGCAGCCACAGATCAGTTAGTAAGGTAGTCTACGATGGACTGGAGGGGCGATAACCTGTGTGGAGGTAGACCAGTGAGAAGAGATTTGCAGTAGTCAAGGCAGAAGATTACCAGGGAGTAAATTACTTGTTTTGTGGTGTTGTAAGGTAAGAAGGAGCGAATTTTAGAAATGTTATGGAGGTTAAGGTAGCAAGATTTAGCCAGTGATTGGATGTGGGGCCCAAAGGAAAGGTCAGTGTTTAGGATTACACCTAGCACCCTGGCCTGCTTGGAGGGACACAATGCTCTTGACCAATGGTATGTCCAATCCCGTTGCCAAAACTCTAGCATGATGTCATTTGAACTTATTTGTAGAATGTTTGCCAGTTCACAAATCCAATATCTCTAAACTTCTCTTACTCTGTCCTTCTAATATATGATGGAAAGGCAACCTGGTGAGAGTAAATGTGACAGATCTCTTCCTCTTCTCGATTCAGAAATTCAAACAGCGACTGATGAGCGAAGGCCTGTGAGATGGTGGCAGCCTGCCACTCGGTGGGACTGCTAAAATTGGAAATTTTGTCGGCATGTTATAGTGAAGCTTCAGCATATGAAACATTTTTTTCAACGAGATTCATATGTTGTAGATCTTAGATGACCTCAATCTGCCTAGAATTCTGCTTTGAAATGGCTAGCATTCAGGTTTGACAATAGAGCCATGGGAAGCTTAGGAAAGATACTGTATTAGGAGACTGTTCCCAATGTGTCAGAATAAAAAGTCATTTGTCATAAGCACAATCCTCAACGTGTTTAATATTTATCTTTGTCTACTGCACAGAGGGAAAATGATTAGCTAAAAAAACAAATACTCCATGTTAGAATGTAGTGCCAAGGGCCCAGCTAAAATAAAAGGGGGCCACATTGTTTAAGGGGCCAGGGATAATGACCTAGATTATAGTTCAAATTAATGTTCAGGTCAAAATAGAAAATTAAAGTATATATAGATAAAACCTTTTTTGCACCCCACCCCTATCCCTTATCCCTTATCCTTTTCTTGTTTGTACCTACCTCCTCCCGGGCTGTTAAAATGTGTTAAATTTTATATTTCTGATCTGGCGCAGTATTGAGCTATCCTGGTCACTTCCTATGTCATCATTTTTTTTAGTATTATATAATGGCAATTGTATTTGTTCAATTTCTCTGTACCACATGCTGTTCTGGACACTCAACAGCCCGTAAAACCTGACTTTCAATTTCAATAAAAATATTGAACAAGAAATATTTTCCCCTGAATTCCTGTCCTGGTGACAAGGGTTTCACCAGAAAGTGAGTAAAGGCTAAATCTCCAAAAAAACACAGATGGAAGCAAACGCCTTTATCTTAGTAGAATAGGGTTCTGCATTGCAGTAAAAACTGACAGGTGATCTACCCCCCCTCCACTCTATCCAATAGAGGGTAATATGAGGCCTTTACAGTGCAATCGATTTATATCCAATCAAGTAGACCTTTGAACTTCATAGCTATTGGTAGCTCTAAAGGAGATTGTACAATCACATTTTTACACATTTTTACATTCAAAGAATTTTATTAATTGAATTTTTACAAATACAAGAAAAAAGAAATAGCAATGAAATTGCTAGTACAATCAAATTTGTACTGTTCCAAGTATCCCCACTGGAGGATTTTTTTGATCCAATGACATCTCAAAATGTTAGATTTCACTTTATTCCAGCCCCATGGATAATGGTCACCTGTTAAAACCTGGCAGGGAGTTTAACCCTTTCCTATTCTATCAGAAACTGCAAAAAAGGTTTTGACTTTAGATTAGTGGTGGACAATTTGCTAATTAAAGGAGGCCTCAACTGTGGCCCCAACATTCCCAGGAGGACACACATAAAATTCAGTATATGTAACACTACAGAACATTCAGGGCAGGTTCACATTGCTTAAGTGCAGGAAAACGCATGTGATTCAGACAGGAATCACACTGCATCCCTGTTCAAATCACATGCAATTCTTTTGCAGTGCGATTTGAACCCATTCATTTTGTATAGCTCAAATCGTACACCCAGAGGCATCCCTAGGGTAGGTGTCACCTGGTGCGGTAACACTTGGTGATACCCCCTCCGACGATCCCCGCAGAATGGATCAGATCTGCGGATTGAGCATAATGGTTCGGACCAGGGGCGGACTGACCATTTGGAAACTCGGGCACTGCCTGAGGGCCCGGGGTCAGTAGGGGGCCCCATGAGATGCCCCTGGTACCTTTTTCATAGGCTTTTTTGAGTTTGGGCAAGGACACAGGGGCCCCATGATCCCCTATTGCCCGGGGGCCCCATGAGTTGTAAGTCCACCCCTGGTTCGGACTCCGATCCATTATGCTCAATCCGCAGATCCGATGCATCCTGCGGGGATCGCCGGCTTTCTTTACAACTTACCTCTACTTGGAGCGGGTCCGGTGTCACCCCGTATAGGTTGCATGCCGACAAGGAAAGGTAAGATGTAAGAAAGCCGGCGATCCCCTCAGGATGGACCGGATCCATCCTGCGGGGATCGTCGGCTTGCTTTACAACTTACCTTTTTGTGGAGCGGGTCCGGTGTCACCCCGTGCAGTCGGTGTCACCCAGCGCGGACCGTACCCCCCAGACCTGCCTCGGGACACCACTGCGCACACCGCACCCTCAAGAAAGGTGCCGGACCTATTTTTTTTCCCCTATGGAATCAGATTGCATGGGTGCTCTTGATGGGAATCAGCCAATTGCACTGTGTTTTGCAAACTGTTTTTGGGGTGTCATTAACTTAACAGTGGTTTGCATGAATGTAAATGCACAGGAATTGCTGCGAATCCTGCACAGCATCAGTGTGAACCAGACTGCTGATATACTACAAGGGATGGTTTGAGGTGGAAGACATGTATGTACACGTATTACAGGTATGGTTGGAGCAGGGGCGGACTGACCATTTGGAAACTCGGGCACTGCCCGAGGGCCCGGGGTCAGTAGGGGGCCCCATGAGATACCCCTGGTACCTTTTTCATAGGCTTTTTTGAGTTTGGGAAAAGACACAGGGGCCCCATGATCCCTATTGCCCGGGGGCCCCTATGAGTTGTCAGTCCGCCCCTGGGTTGGAGATTTCAGATATACTATGGGAGGCAGCCAGAGATTAGGGACATGTTCTATTACAAATGGGTGGTTCAACCACTTTACTGCAAGGGTCACACAATAAGTACCAAAGAGCTGCATACTGTATATCTATCAGGCTTTAGAAAAAATACATTATTTAAAAATTAAGAAAAACAGACATAACAACTCAACCTCCCACCTCCATCCCTGCAAAGAACATGTCAATGAAAGACAGATTTTGCTCTGTCCTCTGTCCAGCCATGTCCTCTTCTCAATGCCTACTCCTAGACTCACCATAATTAAATGATAATACAACACACCCGCAGAGATCTATATACCAAATCTAATTGCCCATTAATAATTCTGCAGGGACTTTGTGGGGTATTAGCCTTTATTGATTCAATATGGACACCACTTTAGGTCGAATCCATTTTTTCGTAACCTGCAAATGACCTTTATCAAAAGTGATATTTAACCTTGTGCTTTCAGTGTCATAAACCTTAAGGAAAAAAAATGTTTGGAAAACTTGACTATGGCATTTGAATATCGGAAAGAATATTAAATAAAATATCTCTTTTTTTATGACTACACATAAGAGGTTGTTTGGAATTTATGTAATACCAGTGCTGCATACTTTAAAAGATACATCAATGTCCATTAAAATAAGCACAAAGTGTAGCACTAACTTTAATGTATCCAGCTATGAAGGCTCTTTCATTCAGTCTACTCAATTGTGCATGAAAAGGGACTTTGGAAAATAGAATGTTTTTTTTTTCTCAATACAGAATACATCCTCATTAATATTTCATGGGAGCAGCGGTGAGGTTCTGGGTATCTACAGCAGTGTTGTGACATATTCTGGGTAACAAATCCTTGTAAGTATGTAGGCAATTGGAGACGGCATTCATTATAAGCAACTTCCTCCTTTTTCACTTCATAAAATAATAGAACCAATGCTTCCAAATATATTTAGATATTCTTAAAGCAGAACTGGGGTCAGAATAAAATTCTCTGCTTACCTAAAGTGAAACAGTACTTTGCTCATGCAGGACAGAGCAACAGCCCTATTCCTTCCAAGCCCTACACCTTCCTGGCCTCCCCCTTCCACATGTATTTTAAAAAAAAATTTAATTACTTATTTAAAAAAAAAATATTCTCAGGCTGTTCCTCTTCCTCTTTATGGGCACGGGGCATCCCTCATTGATGCAGAGAGCATTACCAAAGTGAAAACATTAGCAACATTTTCTATGGGCTTTTAATGGGAGCATTGGGCAGCACCAGGGATGCTGAACATACCTTGGTTCCTGGTCACCTACTGTAGGAATTTATGATGTCACTTGCCTTACTATGAGGCCCTGAGGATTCTGAATCTCATAAAAAGACACTTCAGTACTGTGTAGGGGTTCACTATTACAAAATTTGGCATCTTTATCTTCCCGAGGATCAAGCGGTAAGGGAAATGACATTGGTGCCACCAATCTGATTTCCCTTACCGCCTGATCCTAAGGAAAATTTTGGTGCTTATAGTAGGTGGCCAGAAACCAGAGTGTAAGGTAAAGCAGTAAATAGTAAAGTCATTTTAAAAAAATAAAAAAAATGTCCCCTGGCAGGTTTTAGTCATAATGTACTAGTATTCAGCACATACTAGCAAATTATGACATACTTACCTGTAAACGGAACCCTCCAGCACTGTGCTGTCATGGCTTCCCCTGGTCCCATCTTTCCCATTCTGAGTTCTGTATCTTCAGCTGCTTGATTGGCCAGGCAGTGTTGACATCACTCCCATTCATGCACATGGGAGTATCATCACCAAGGCACACAGAGGGTATTGTAAATGTGATCTGAACTCCACATTCATGGCTCAGATCACACTACTACTGACAGGCAGGGGGAGCATTTATAAAAGAAGAGACCAACAGGGTGTCTTTCTGTTGTAAAAACTCTGCCTGTCAGCGGTTTTTCTAACGTCGAGGGTCACTGAGTAAGTTAGTAAGGTACCCAACATTCTTTTATGTCACCCCAATCTATCAAGGGTGCTGGGAACTGGGGTGTTAGTTCAATATATTAAGTTTGTTTTTGTTTTAAAGTGTTACTAAACCCACAACAGTAAAATCAGCCTGTATATGCAATAAAGCATGCTTGCTATACTCCATTGTGTAAAAAGGCCATTTGATCCTTCCTGCTCTGTTCCTCCACTTTTTCAAGTGACCACCTCTTATCCCCTGATAAGACAGACTGAACCGTAAGCATTTTGCACATTCTCAGTTTGGTGTGTATTGCTAGAGAGGTTTTTTTTTTTTTTTCTTGGGAAAGTGCATGTGATCAGCACTGGTCAGACAGAGGTCAGGGGATTTGCATCCTCCTAGAGCAGAAAGAAAACTCCTCCTACAAGCTTTAACCAGTGCTCTGCTGGACACTGATAGAAGCCACAAGACTGCTCTAACTGCTGATGAGAAAAGGTATTTAGCAGTTTATATTTACTAAAATAACTGCATTTCCATGTTCTGTGTACTGTGGGAGACCAGATATAGTGAATGCAGGGTCCTGGGTTTAGTAACACTTTAACTTTCACTTAGCATTACTGATTCAGGGGATCAGGGGCTGCAACATAAGTGGACCTGGATTCTAGACTTTCAAATTTCAACTGATGCAAGTGTAGCACTCACCCCCTTAAGGGCCACTGAATTGTTTTGGGTCCCCCTAAGGTCTACACAGCCAGGCAACACATATTTTCCACACTTGCAGATTCAGAGTCAGTAAACAGTCCTAGAGCTGGTATTTTAGTTGTTTTTATTAAGGGAATAACAACTTAGATGGGGTATAGGAGTATATAAGATGCTGAAAGAACTGTAAACTTGATTTCTTAGAAACAATACTGTACAAGAAAAAGAGGATTAAAAATAGCAATTGTCTATGTTAAGGAGCACTGAAGTCACCTTGGTGTACCTCCTTAGACCCCAGGTGAATCCTCCTTTTCATCCAGCTGCACTGAGGGTATCCCTGAACAAGGGATTCCAAGATCTAACAATGAAGTAGTCCCGGATGAGAACTAGTTGGGTCTTGCAACTGACCACCCTCTCCCTTTATCTGGCCCAGGGGGTGTAGGAATACTCACACTGTTCCATCCTCTCAGTGTGGTGGGTTGGTAGCTGCTTTCAGGGATTTCGCTGGGCTGGATCTTTCCCTGCTGCTCAGGATGTCCTACTTAGGAGAAGGTGGAACAGTGAAGATCCTCCTGTCCAGCAATCAGCCTGTAGATAGGCTCCCCTCCATTGTGCCCCCATTATGCCCCCTCCCAGGCTGCTCACTCCAGCACCTGTCTTCAGTCCATTTTCCACCTGACTCCAGCAACCAACCTGCTGCACTGGCTCTTCCACATTTAAGGGTTGTCCTTGGTCACCATGCCCATCCTCCTCCCCTAAACATGTAGATCTAAGCTTCCTCCCCTCCTCCAGAAAGTTCTCTGAGTTTCTGGAAGGGTAGGAGGGCTCCAGAAGCCCTGACCTGTAGAGTCTTGTAGCCTGTCCTGAGGTGAACTCCTGCCTCACTTCCAGGCTGACTCATCCGAGGCTGCTACCCAGCCTCTAACAAAAATCCTACTTAGCTAAGCTGGAGGGCACCACACAGACCTAACAGACCTTTAGACTTATATGTATATATTGCAGTGTACATCTGTAAGCTTGTCTCAGATGTGAACACTTTCCAACTATGCCCACCCTTTTCACCAACCTCCTCCGTTTATAGAAGCTGTACTATAGTTTCCATAAATGAAAAACGATCTATGAATAGAGGAGGCGGATCATGTATTCATCCACCCGTCCTTCATTCATAGCGTGCATTTCATTCTTAATAGTTAGAGTACAGCTTCCATGAATGGAAGGGGTGGGAGGAAATCGCAGGCATAGTCAGCTCTCTTCATGATTGCCTATACTATATATTTATTTAAATATAGGTCTGTCAGCTATAATAACCCTTTCCATGCTGGAAGATTATGGTAGCGGGGGTAAGGGAGGGGTATCGGAGGAAGAAGATTTTAACTAAAGCAGGAGCCAGCAACATTGGTAGTAAATAATGTCCCTTGTGCTGTTTTTTTTTTTTTTCAAATTAAATCGAGGCTTTAACACACATGTACAGAGCATTTAATTTTGCAGGCTAAAATTATTTAACTTTGGACCCTGCAGTGGTCATCACTTTAAAAGGGCTTATTCAACAGAGCAAGAAAAGACGA